ATGTGTAGGGATGGGTATCGTTTAGGTTTTATCCGATACTGGTGCCGAACCGGTACTTTTGAAACGGTGCCGGTGCTTAAACGGTGCTTAAACCGGTGCTTAAAGAATGGAGAACACAAAATTGGTCCAAAAACCTCTCATGTTCAGCTGTTTCTTTGTAAAAAGATAACAATGTTAGCTTTTCCGCAGCTATAGGGGATTTGTTGTATCACTCTTGGCTGGAAGCAGTGCTTAAACAATGGAAAAAACACAAACTTTGTCCAAAAACCTCTCATGTTTAGCTGTTTCCCACTTTTTCTTTGGTCATTTTAGCCTTTTTGGCCAGGGTGAAGGGAGTATCTGCCATCAAACAAGAAGACAGCCGCATGTAGCTATGATGATGTTTGCTAGTTCACCTTACATGCATTAATGTAATAACGTGGTTAGCCTACTCAACGTAAATTACACACGAACAACATTAAGCTACTCACGCAGAGAAGAACGGCTGCTGCTGCATCATCATCCGTCATCATTTCTGCTACACTGGCAGGGCTAGGGGCCAGGACTCTACTTTTTGAGTTTTTGGGGGATGTTGCTAACTCCGGATCCGATAACAGGCACCATACTCGCAGTAGATGTGCTCGGTGTGAGCTCTTGCAGCAAGCTATCAAATACGGCGCATTTCTCGGCTTTTAAAAAAAACGCTATGCATCGCCAGGTGTTTCATTGGATTTGAGGTGTTACCTCCTTTGACAGTATCAGCTTAAAGCACTTGTTGCAGGCTGCTGAGTTTGCATATTTTGTTGTGAAGTACAGCCAGACTTTGACGGCTTTTCTGCACTTTAGACGGGAGGTAAACAATAGTCACTTTATTGTGTCGTATGATGACATATGTTTTTATGTGATATTTATTTTTATCCCAAATATCTGCATGAGGTTGGGCCTCAGGAGATTAAAAACAGGTGATGGGTCACTGGTGACATGGTAGATGATGAGAGGTTAAGCAGTTAAAATGATCTCTTACAGCACTGGTACTCATAGCATAAACACATTTCTTTGCCTTTTTTTATCGCTGACAGCTGAACATCTGTTTATCTGCTCTGCATACAGAGAGCAGGTCAGAGGTGAACGTTGACTTCATGTTGAAGAGAATAGAGAAATATCAATATTCAGCCTCTTCGCTCATCTTTCATGGACATATTTAAAGGAGGAGAAAAGACTGTGTTTGTATTCACTTTAATAGCACATGTTTGCTTACAGCACTGAACCAGCTGGGAAATCAACAAGGTACTAAATGATTAAAGCTCGGGGCAGGTTGTTTGCCACATTAAGCATATTTGTAGTTATTTCTCAATATGATGTTTATGAGGATGTCCAAAGACATGCAGATAGTAGAGTTGGGTTAACCAGTGATTCTAAATCGACTGTAGGTGTGAATGTTAGTGTGAATAGTGGTTTGTCTCTCTGTGTTAGACCTGCAACAGACCGGTGACCTGCCCGGGTTGTACCCTACCTCTCGCGCTATGGTAACTGGGATATGCTCCAGCACCACCACAATTTGAATTGAATTATCTGGATGGATGGAGTTTAGAACTCTACTGACTTGCACACATCTCTTGCATAACATCTCACCAAAGTAATACACAAAGCTTCAGCACTCTATGCTCGAGGCAGGATGGACAGATGAGCAGTCTTATAACTGAAGAAGTGCTGGTTCTCAGCCATGAATGAATCTGATGTGAGACAGCATTAGACTTTCTGAAAAGGGAAACTTCGAACTGAATAATTGTTTGTTTAAATTCCACCTTCCGCCTACACAGTCCCCAGAAGAAAAAGTCACTATGATCTCAATATCTCTCACTCCAAACATGTTTAATATCTCAGTTCTGCTTTTGTTGTCGCTGTTTTGATGGAAATGAATGTGGTTGGCAGCTTCTTGGTAACATAGTTACACACAGCACAAATCTTGTGTGACTGAATTATCATGTTGGCTGACATTTTTCTCATGTATGTGCTTCTTTATGTCCTGTGGCCATAATTAGATTGGATGTGACATTCAGAGAATTTTCCTTTGGGCTATTTTACTGAATATGAGAAACATGAAATATTCCAAACAACATCCAGCATGTTTCTAGTGAAATGGTACTCAGACGAGGTGAATTATTGTTTTGAATGTTATCAAGCACAGTTTATAAGTTCATGACATCTGTGTGATATGTACATTAATTGTCCATTAACCGCTGGAAGCCCTCAGGGACGTGTCTTCTGTAGCCTCACTCCCCTAATGATTTTTTCCACTGTGTGTTGTTTGATGTCTGTCTTTGATTGAGGGAACCTGTTGGCAGATGGTGGAATTGTACACACACTCTCTCACACATCCATGTCATTAGTAATCATTTTCTCATCCTCATCTTTTTAACTGCCAGATGAAGGTGTGTTGAAGAGGGGTCCTATTTCACTGCAGGGCAACCTGCACATGGCAAATAAAGCCTTGATTGATTGATTGATTGATTGGCTTCATTGGTTACCACATGAGGCAGATGTACCAGGCTTTGTTTGAAGCACATGACATATAAACATATTGTATTAAAACCAAAGAATATACTTGAACATAGATGGCCGATCTTGGGTGCATCATCAGTATCAGTAAAAAACTAACATCCAAGGTTCTTCATTATAATGTTTTTTGAGCAGACCTCACAGTCAATCAAAACCAAAATGGTTTTGTGGCCTTGGGGTGATGAAATCAGAATGAAAGTGCCACACAGAGTGCTGTCTGCTACCCAAACGTGACATGCTAAAATGACACCAAAATGAAGAGGAGGCTAGAGCGAGGAGGGAGGAAGAAAAACAGGTGGTGAGGAGGAGTGACAGCCTGGAAGTGAAGGAAGATGGAGCGATGAGACGAGCAGACGTTTCAAAAGTTCAGCAGCTGCTCCTGAACGCCGTCCTATCCCTCCGTCTGTGCGTGCATGTTTGTTTTTACCCTGACTGTTGGCCTATTAGCCGTCCCTCCACATGTGGGTCCATCTGGTTCATAATGAACATATGGACCAGATGGACCCCCTATTTCACTCTCTCCAGGTGATTTAAAGTGTCTGTTAATTAGAGCTGATGTCTCATTTAGTCTTATTTTCCCCCTTTCTCATAGCCACAGTTAGTTTCATCTAAATGTGCCATTTAACTAATTGACTAATTGTATAATTCATGGTGGAGTCCCTGAACTGTCTGTTTACCTCTGTGTGTGCCTTTTTGCTGACTCTGAGATGAGAGCAATAGTCTGTCTTTTACCAGGAGTTTGCTAAATACTTTGAGGAGGAATCGTGTTTTAAACAAAGCAGGAAAAAAATTAAAATTAGTCAGATCTGCAACTCTTCTGGCTACCCATCAACAATCATTAAAAAAAAACAAAAAAAAAACAGCTGTTTGTCTGAAGGCACTCATACCCACTGAGATTCAAACTGCCATCACTTTTTCTCGCCAGATATCAGACAGTTCATTGCTGCAGATGAAAAACAAATTTATAAAATTAATCTGGATCCCGAAGTTAGACCCCCCTGACTGTTCAGTTTCTGTGTCGAGATATTGAAACTTAAGACTGCTTAACAAGATGAAAATGTGACAAATCAACATCAACGGTCACTCACCGAGAAATAGTCTGATCCCAGCAGATGCTGCAAAATCCACGTATATGTTGATTCTTTTGTTCATTAAAACTTTTGTTTAACAAGATGCAGGATCATTAAAACTACATCTACTTAATGCCCACTGCTTTAATCCATGAATTACACCTAACCTCATGGACCAAGAATTAGCCAGATCCCTCCAGATACTGTTAATTTAAAAGGAAAAAAAGTCTCGTTTAGTCTATTCATTAACATCTGAAACTTAATAAGCCAACAATTCTATTGCTTAACAAGGAAGAGGTTCATTAAAACCAAATCTCCATAGTAAACACTGTAATCCATGAATTAGACAGTGCCACACTTCTCTGGATTTAGCCAGATCCCATGGGTAATTTAGACAGAGCTCATTAAATCTCCACATGCTTGCAGATGTCTATTAAAACCTCGAAACCAGAAAAGCCGATGAGGAGAGGAAACAAGAAGAGGAGTAATGGGAGGGAATGAAGACAGCAAAGAAAGGAGAGAAGATGAGACATGGGATTGAGGAGAGATCAAAAGAGAGAACAGAAAACATCGAAAGATACACAGTGGACACAATTAGAAAATAATCACGAGGACGTAAGCAGAGAAGATGGGCGAGAAACTGCAAAAGCTGGATATGGTGAAGGTCCTGAGGAAAGAAGCAGAGAAACAAGATCAGGAAAGGAACAACAAAGATCCCAGAAAGCACCGTCTAACTACAGCTGAACATTTGTTCTACATATAAATGTTTAACTAGAATCTGTCAAAAGCTGAGCTGGAACGACACCATAAAAGTCGAAAAAGACAAAGAGACTCCCATACTGTGTGAGGGCAAAGCATCCAGTCCTTTTACTAGGAAACATGTTTTAGTGAGATTCACTGGATTTCTGGATTTTGGTTCAGCTTTGAAATAAAACGAATAACAGCCAAGTCAATTTTCTAGTTATCATAGCCACTTTTTCTTTTCTTTGACCTTTTGCGTGTATTTTTATGACATAAGGCTTAATATGCACACAACACTGTGCTACATTAATAATACATTAAAGTGTTCCATGTGCATGCAGTCCTATTATATCATGTTGGCTGGTGAAGACTGGAATATGGTTGCTCAAGGCTAGTTAAGATGTTTTGATCATTTTCAATGAGAGGTGCCTGCAGTTTGATTTGGGTCTTTGTTGACTATCAGACCACTAATATAGTCATCTACTAGTAATATCATTTCTTTGTTTTCTGTCACTCTGCTGTCAAAGTTTAAGAGGTTTTTCAGTGGTGCCATCCACTGAATCAGCCTTAAATACTGCATTATCACAATCATCATTCTCATGATCAAAGTGAAATATAATACCTGAAAAAGTCCAATTTTTGTGTTTTCAGGAGAAGCAGCGCTTCTTGACTGATGTCCTTCATGAGGTGATGCTGCTGGATGGCCTGAGTTCCTCCCATCCAATCTCCCAGGAAGTGGAACAAGCGACAGACATTGACCGTGTCTTTGACTGGATTGCCTACAAAAAAGTAAGAAACCACTTTCAACAGAAGTAAGACTGTTGCACTATAAATATACCTGTGTGATCATGATCGCCAGTGAATGTTTGAATACCTCTTCAATGTGTTCTTTATTATTATTATTATTATTAATGATGATGATGATGATGATGATGATGATAATAATAATAATAATTATTATTATTATTAGTATTAGTATTATTAATATAAATAATAATATTTTAACAATAAAACTTCAATATGTTCTTGTTTTCCAAGCAGACTTGGATTAACTTATAAAGGGAGATCTTCAGCTGCCGTTGGTTTAGTTTTGTCTTTTAAACATGATCAATAAAGTTGGCTTTTTTCAAACCATACATTTGCTTCTAGACAACCACAAACACTAAACTGAAAATTCAAAACTGCTATTCACACATTGTCTACATACTTTGACAAATTGGGGTTATATACTTTAAAACAGAAGAGAGCGGCTGGTAGGGCAGCTTTCCACCCCTATTCCTTTGAAGATCAGCGCTGTCTGAACAGTTTAACATGTGGATCTGAGCCAGTCTCTAATTTCAAAGTTCACCAAAGGTGACTCTTATCTACTTTTCCTCCAGTGATCACAGCAACTTCAATGATGATGATGGATGATGATGATGTTTTTAACCGTGTCTGAAAGTGTGTTTTTCTTTGCTCTCCATAGGGGGCGGCACTGATCCGGATGCTTGCTAACTTGATGGGGCAGCCGCTGTTCCAGAAAGGACTCAATGTAAGTTCCCTTTGCTTTGCAAGTCCAGCTGTGTATACAGAGGTTTTTAAATCAGAGGGAACAGCTGGGTTACTGGGCTTTGAATTGATTTATCACCAACACAACATGGAAGGATTCATAGAAACAGTGTGTGTGTGTGTGTGTGTGTGTGTGTGTGTGTGTGTGTGTGTGTGTGTGTG